TAACACTTGCAACTTGATAGTAAAAAGACAATCCGATTTTTACAGTGGGCAAAGGATCTGAATAGACATTTCTCAAAGGAGATATACAAATGGCAAATGAGCACATGAAAAAAAAATCAGGAAAACACAAAACCCCCCAATGAGATACGACGTCACACATCTTAAGATAATTAGAATTAACAAAGGTTGTAGGAAGTGTTGATGGGAATAGGGAGAAATTAGGATCCCCAGACACTGTTGGTGGGAATGGGAAATGAACCAGCTGCTTCGGAAAATGTCCTGGCAGTTCTCCAAATGATTAAACAGTTACCACAGGACCCAGGTACTCTAAACCCAAGAGGAATTAAACCCACATGATCACATAGAGGTTTGTTCTTGAATGTTTATGATAGCATTATTCATGGTAGCCAAAAGGCAGAAACAATCCAAATGTTCGTCAGCAGATGATTTATAAGCAGAACACGTACGTATCCATATCACGGAACAACATTCAAACGTAAAAAGACTGAATACTGATACATGCTCCAGCAAGGGTGGCAGGCCTTGGCAACAGTTTGCTGAATGAAAGGGGCCAGTCATAAAAGACCATATGTTATATGAGTGAAGATTGAAATGAAAGTCCAGAATAGGGGAATCTCTGGAGACAAAGTATTTGCTTGCTCAGTGCTGGGATACCAGCATACGGGGACACAGGGAGGATGACAGGTAAAAGATGCACTTTCTTGAAGCAATAAAAACATTCCCAATCGTGCCACTGGGTGCACGTACCTGTAAATCTAAAAGCTCTCAGGTGGTGCTGTACCTGGGTGACGTGTATGGTATGTGATTTAGACCTCAGTAAAGCTGCTCAAGACAAAACTAGGCCTCCCCCAAGGCTCTCGCTGCTTCCACACACTTCAGGCTCTCAGGTTGGAATAATTACCATCTTCATCTTGTAGCTCCTGTGCCCACTGGGTCTACTAGAGTCAAAAAATGTATCAATTCACCTCACATACGGAGGGCCCACTGTCCTAGCTGCACAGGATGTCTGTCTGTCCTAGACACAATTCCACTGCCCTCCCAGCTTCAAGGCTCATCTGCAGGACTCACCCACCTCAGGCCCCGTCATCTTCTTAGAGACCCTCTGCTCGGAAACCACTGATCTGCCCAGCTGCTTGGCCTCCCCAGGTCCTCCCTGGTACTGTCACTCAGTGTGGACAGTGCCTTTTTATCCAATGGTAGAGACAAGCCCAGAATGCCGGGTCTCCTGGGGAAAAGAACCAGCACTTAGATTCACTCCATGATGGTTGAGCGAGGCGTGGTGGAGTGGAGGCCCTGTGTGAGGCCCGAGGCCCAGGGAAGCTCAGCTTCCTTCCCACTGCAGAGCCAGCCCTGCTGGAGGGTGCCTTTTCTCTTGCCTTGAATTTTCCTCCTCTTGGTTCAAAGCTCATCGCCCCTAGGGCCTCTCTGATTTTCCCCTGCCTCACCCTTCGCCCCCCACTCATTCTCTTTTAAAGCAGACAGGCCCTCAGTAAATGTGACCTCCTGACAGTTAACCAGAACTCTGCTGGAGGCTCAAGTTTCAGCCGGTGACACTTTGCGCTCAATTTCCATTGGCTGTCAGGGCACTCAAATTGCCGCCTGTTTTGCCTTCTCTGCGCCTTACTTTGTTTTTATTTGGGTGAGGGAACATTCCCTTCAAATGATTTAGAGATTATCATTATTATTTCTTGGGCAGTGGCAGGAGCCCAGTCCTACTGACTTGATAAGGTGGCTTTAGGCAGACCCTGCCTGGGGCTGCCAGCCTGTACCTCCTAACCAGAAACAAACTCCAGCCTCAAACTCGGATCTGGGGACTAGCTCACTTCAGTCATCTGGCCAAGGGTGCCACCTGATGGCCAGTTGGAGAACTTCACCTGCCTCCTGTGCATTAGACTTTTCTCCTAGAAGGCCCACTTCCCAGGGTCACCAGCACCAGGAACAGCCTTTCCTCAGCCAAAGACTGACCTTCCTTTAGGAGCCCACCTGCAATTCTTGGACTTCAGGCCTCCCTTCGGGTGGATTCCTTCACTTTCCACTCGGATTCTCACCCAGGCAGTCAACACAACCACAGGAATTCTTAAGGTCAGTCCAAGGGAAATCAGGAGTGTGTGGAAACCCGCGCTCTTGTGTTTTCATGCTGCTCCACCATTCCAGCTAGGAAGGAATTGGTTCTAAGTGGATTTATTGAGAATGTAATTGACTTAGCCTCTTAAATATCTTGTGAGTGAATGTTTGCATTTTTTTTAAAAAATAAGATAAGCCCAACTATAATGTACCATTAAAAAATGTGTATAAAATAAAATGTACCCTGGAGTAGGACAATAATATACTCAAAAAATTCTACAAAAATGTAGAATTTTAGATGCCTGAGAAGTAAAAAATATATACCTGATATATGGTAGCCCTTTGTGAAACCTTCAAAGGTTACTACTTATTAAGTAGTAAGTTTAGTTCCAATATCAGCTGATACAGACTACAGGATTTCCACTCAGTTTAGTCTCTATTATTTGATAATATTGAGGTATTTATGGCTTAAGTATTTCAATACACCATCCATCTAGAAATATCTACATTTTAAGTCAATTTACTCTGTATCATTTATTTACTTATGCAAATTTGTTATATATGACAGCAGAATGCATTTCAATTCACAGTATACATATAGAGCACAGTTTTTCATGTCTCTGGTTGTACAAAGTAGAGCCACACTATTCATGTCTTCACATGTGTACCTAAGGTAATGATGTCCATCTCATTCCACCATCTTTCCTACCTCCCTGCCCTCTCCCTTCCCCATGCTCCCCCCCACCATCCCATTATAGAGCAGTATCCATTTATCAGAGAAAACATTCAGCATTTTTTTTTATTAACTAACTTCACTTAGCATAATATTCTCCAACTCCATCCATTTACCTGCAAATGCCATGATTTTATTCTCTTAATGCTGAGTAACATTCCATTGTTCAGTAACTTCTATAATCACCCTCACACAGCATATGTGTGACTGAGATATTGTTGATTCTTGAGGATCCTAGGTGGGAACTGGCGCTATTTACCTGCTTCCTATAACAGACAGCTTCTAGAACCATCCCAAGATGGTTTTTTGACTCTGGGCTATTAGTGCAGGATTGCTTGGTATAGTAAACTGGAACTTGCCTTGGAGTTGAACAAATTGATTTTATTCCTGTTTTCCAACTCATAACCAAGGTGCCCTGATGCTGGTTCTTAAACTGTGTACCTCAGATTACTAATCTTGTAATTTGCATGCTGTCATCTACCTTCAGGGTTGTTCTGAAATCCTCAACTGCATCATCAATTTGGAGGGTCCAGGTGCAACTTCAGTTCAGGCTCAAACAAGGTCTCTTCCTCCTGGGGAAGCCACAGACACATCCTTCACAAGCTCTTTCTTAAAGAGTCGCAGAGGTGGACTTCCTGTAAAAACATAGTTCTATGAGGCTGCATCTTCCCTCTCCTCTTTTCTTTCCTTAGCTGCCGTTCAAAGGAAACAAACCTTTGATCACCAATGTCGGTGCAACTAGACGATACCTGTGACTCAAAAATTAAGAGAAAATGGACAATTGCTGCTGTTATGGTTTGGATATTAGGTGTCCCCAAAAGCTCATGTGCAAGGCAATGCAAAAAGGTGTAGAGGTGAAGCAATTGGTGGAGACCCTTCAGCTAATCAGTGAATCCATGCCCTGCTTCCTCGTGTGAGGTCCTGAGCTGCTTTCCCCTGCCACATTCCACCATGAAGGGCTGCCTCACCCAGCTCTAAGGAATGGAGTTGGCCACTGATGGACTGAGACCTGTGAAACTGTGAGCGTCAGGTAAACTTTTCCTCCTCTAATTATTCTTGTCAGGTCTTTTGGTCACAGCAGCAAAAATAAATAAATAAATAAGTTGACTAAAACAGCTGCCAACAATAAAAAGGACTGTCATGGAAGCTTCATGGGAGAAAGGAGCTAGAGGGACGTCCACGGAGGTAGAGCTCAGAATGTGCCATGAAAACCCACCTGTTAACAGGAAGTATATCACCTCTGTGAGACGTAGGGAAGGTGGGGCAAAGGTGCCCAGGGACCACCTGGGAGAAAGTTCCACAAAGAAACCCACAATAGCAGCACATCTCAGAAAGCGCCTCTGAAGGCCACGGGCTTTCTATAAAGTGCAAAATACAGAGAGAAGGAAGGAAGTGGTAAAGACAAGAGCAGAAATCAATGGCACTGAGAACAGGGGGACCATCCAGAAAATCAGTGAAACCAGATGCTGGTGGCTGTGGCCTGGTTGTGACCCCCCAAATGTCCCAAGTTAGAACTTATTGCCCAGTGGTCATGGTAAGAGGAGGGGGCTTTGGAGGGCTCCACCCTCCCCAGAGCCAGTGTCCCTGTAAACCAGGCTGACGGGAGTGTGGCTGTCCTTCTGCTAGTGAGGAGGCAGCAGAGAGGGGCCTTCTGGGAGAGGTGGACCCACTCCTGGTACCATATTTGTCAGCACCTTGATCTCGGGCTTCCCAGCCTCCAGAACTGTGAGCTGTAACTTTCTTTATAATCCCCCAGGCTAAGGCATTTTGCTTTAGAGCCTGGAGGGACTGACAGATGCTGTTTCCTTAAAACAACAGCAACCACCTCAATGAAATTCCAAAACCTCTAGTAAAACCAGCGAGAAGCACAAGATGGGGAGATGCGTGTCACCCGCATCAGGAATGAAACGGGTATCGCTGTGGGTGCTGCAGATATTAAAGTAACAAGGGAATAATTCAAACAACTTTGTGCTGCTGATTTGACAACTTGTAAGAGAGGAACTAATTCTTGAAATCCACAGACTACCCGCCTCCATCAAGGTGAAAGAGCCTCATGACTGTGCATGAACCTGAATTCAAGGGTTAACCCCCACCTCCCCCAAGGAAGCTCCAGACCCAGGTGGTTTCCCAGAAGAATTCTATTAAGCACTTAAAGAATGGCCAGTATTTTCACATAGTTTCTATGAAACGATCAAAGAAAAATCTCAGATCTTAGTCTTTGGACTTACCCACAAACTAAGGGCTCGTTCTGAATGTCACCTTCTGGTTCAGCAGCAACTATCAACCAACTGGGAAATCCTGGTTGGAACTACCGGACACTAAGACCACATCACCCCACTAACCAGGTAGCCACCTTGGGTTTCCTTCCCTTGGTCCTCTGGAACCAGTGCTTATCCACCAGTTCCACAGTGAGGGGGTGTCAGGGTGACCCTAACAGCCCCCCGGGCACAGCGGGCATCTCCTGATGCTAGAAAGCCTGTAACAATGTCGCTTCCGTTTGAAGCCCTCATTGGCTGCTGGTTCAGGTGGCGGCTGGTTGGGGTCACATCTTTTGCTCTGGGCCAACCCCAGATGAAGAAAGTGAGTCCTCTAGGGCACAGGAAGCTGGAGCCGTCCCCTCAGCTAGGAGACAGGAGTTAGAGATACTTACTGGAAAGGCCCTAGCCCCATGGGGGCCAGGGTTAGTTAGACAATTATTGACACCTTCAAAACTTGGCAGAGAGCTTCTCACTTCATGTCGCTTTTTCTTAAAATCTATCACCCATCAAAATCATGAAGAGCTGGGTGTGGCTGGTACCTGTAATCCCAGTGGTTTAGGAGGCTGATGCAGGAGGACTGAAACTTGGAGGCCAACCTCAGCAACTTAGCAAAGTCCTAAACAACTTAGACCCTGTCTAAAAATGAATGAATAATAAATAAATAAAAGGGCTGGGGATGTGGCTCCGTGGTCATGCACCCCTGGGTTCAGTCCCAGTACCCACCAAACAAAAAAGAAAAATCATGGAATCTCTTGAAGTCAAACCCAAATCAAATCCAATCTCTCTTTCTCTCTCTCTCTCTCTCTCTATATATATATATATATATATCCAGAGAACAGTGACATTTTCTACTTGGAAAGTTAAAAATCCCTAAATAATGATGGTTATTCCATGAGAAAAGCACCATCAGCCCGTCGCAAGCACATGTAGTGCCACAAGATCAGGTGGAGCCGAGCAGAGGGGCCAAGTGGGGCTTGGGCCACGCAGACCCTCATACTTGCAAGCTTCTACCTAAGTCCCGCTTCCTGGTTCCTTTTGAGATCCAGTGAGTGCTCTTGGCAAAGGAACCCCCAGAAGCAGAGGGTCCACCCCTACCCCTCCCTGGCTCTGTCAGGGCCCTGTCCACTCGCTGGCTGGGAGCTGCTCAGCAGCAGCATTCTGGGGTGGGTCGCCTTGTCCCGCAGTCACACCTCGTTCGGTGGTGAGACTGACCTGCCAAGGAAGGAGTGGATCTTCCAAACCAGCAAGGGGAGCAAACTTCCTTAAGACACGGGGCACACCACTGGAGGAGGGCAGCAGGAAGGGCAGTTTAAACCAGGTTTTTGGACAAACCATGGGGCAGTCCCATTGCCCCTCACATACAGAGGTTCAACTGGGATCACAAATTCAAGTGTCCACAGTGGGCAGGTGGGCGATGTGAACGTCAGCGGGGGCATGATGGGTGGGTGGGGTCTGTGGCAAAGCGAGCACCCGCCCTGTGGGTGCTGAAGATGTATTTAAGTCACGGAGTCTCCTAGAAAAGAAGACCCCAATGGCAGGTCTTGTTTGCAAAAGGTGAGTTTTTATATGACTTCTCTTGATGTCAAAATGTCTCTTGCTATTCTAATTTTTAAGACACTGTCCAGGCCACCAGCATATCTAGGAGCAGATCCCAGCAGGAGGCTGCCAGTTTCTGACTCCTGAGTGAAATCAGTTTCACGTTATCCACCTTCCCCTCCCCTCTGTCCCCAGGCGTTAGTGCCGTTCCTTCTGCAATCTGGCTTGCTTTTTGGTTTTGTTTTTAATGAGTTCAACCCCAGCCCGTCCACTCACACTGTCTGTATGGAGGCATCTTGGGACCCTGCCAGGTGGAGGCAAGCCCAACTGGAAGCTGTGTTTCCTTCTCATCTCTGTAGATGTCTGCGGTGCCTTCAGGCAGCAATTAAGTTGACGCTCGTCTTGCAGGGAGAGAGGAGCAGGGCAGAGACAGCCAGGCAGAGAGCCGTGCCTGTCCACCCTGGCTGCGCTGTCAGCACCTGGGGCCCAGGAACCGGCTGCTGCTGGCTCTGAAAGTCCTGAGGTCTTAAACACCATCCAGAAGGACTTCCTGGGAGCCTCTGAGGGTGAAATGAAACCTAGACCATTTGCACTGAATTGCAGTGACTGACTTTTTAAGTTGCTGTTAGTGATAGAAACAGGGTTGTGTGAAGTCACAGATGAAGTTCATGCAAACGGCCGAAGCTGTCAAGGGTCCATCCCAGCTCAGTGCCACCCTCCTTCCTTACTGGGAGCCTTAGTTTTGTAGATGCGTGCCTTCCTCCCATAGGACTGCTCAGGAAAAATCCTCATTGGGTGAGGCTAATCATAGTGGTCTGGTCCCATTTTAGTGATAGGTTTAGGGAAAACATGTAACTGATTTGGTCACTATGGTGTGAAGCCTAAAAAGAGATGTCCCTTTCTTCCTCTGAATGTTGTCATGTCTGGATGTAATACCTGGGACTCCAGCAGCCATCGTGTGACCGTGCCGTGAGGAAAGTCCACTTAAAGACAAATCTGAACTGCTGCTGGCAGAGTGGGAAAAGAAGAGAAAGACCCGCATGCCCCTGGAGATATATTCAAGTCACAGAATTAAATTGAACAAACCCGAGCACCCCGTCCCCTCTGGAGTTCTTTGTTATGAGCTACTCCATCGATCTTGTGTGCCAATTTGAATTGAGAGCTTGCAGTTACCAACAGCCACGGGAATCCTAACCGCTCTGGCGTTCATTCCTGAAGGCCTGCGGAATGAAGAGTCATGTGGACACAGTCACCCGTCATCTGGCAATTAGTGTAGAGTCGGAGCTCAAGGAAAAGAAGAGCCGTGTGTGGGTCCCCTCGGCTGAAGTCCATCTTGCCCTCGGGGGGCCGTTTGTCTCCAGCCCCCCCCCCCACCCGCTCCTGGGGGCCCTGTGAGTGAGGAGTGCAAACTGCCCCCCAGACACGCGCATCAGCCACGCGGGGTCCCTACACACGCAGAGGCGGGAGAGCAGGAGGAGGCTTGGCCCCTGTAAACGGGTACTGGGAAGCATCATGTCTCGGGTTTAGTTTATAAATGAAGGTGGCGTCCAGCCTTAGGAGACCTGGTTGCCATCACTGTCTCTCTTTTCCAGAGATAAAGGCAAGGCAAGGCCGTGGAGAAAGTGTCACAGTGTCTGTGCCGTGAGCTCCTGGTCCTCGGGATTCAGGAGGCCTGGGACCCGGCAGCTTCTAGGTAAGCCTGGAGCCATACTGTCCTGGAGCCTCCTGGTCACTGTGGCTTGAGACCCACCGTGTCCAGCCTGGTTCTTTCCCAGGATTTAATCTCGGAATAGTGGACATGGCAAACATTGCTAGCTGCCTACCCAACGCCTTCCTCTTCTTTTGCTTATTAAGAGAAGGAAGTTTTGGTGTTTGGGGATTTTTTTTATTGGGGGATGGGGGGTGGGGAGGTGGATAGAATGATAGAGTAGCCCTGTCCCCAGCTGAAATATGACATTTCTCAGCTTCCTTTGCTGCGAGAAGAGGCCATGTCACACATTATGACAAAAACACAAAGGTTGAAGATTTCTGAGAAAGCTTTCTTTTCATGATATGGGCCCCTCTCTTTTCTGTTTTCTGTTATTTTTCCTGAAGGAAGCCAGGGTGTGTTGATTGGAGCTTCAGCAGCCATTTTGTGAAGGCAATCTTAAAAACATCACAGAGACCTTGGCTCTGAATCTTTGGATCACTGCTTTGGCCTGTCTTGCCAGCTCTCTTTATCATACGATAATGATCTGCCTCTGTCCACCTGGCTATGTTGTATAATTTATGGGGGACACACAGAGAAGGTGGGAAGACAAAGAAAATGGAGAGAGGATTCTAGTTTTTATCTGGGTCTCATTTGAGACGGTTAATTGGAAGACACAAAATCCGAGACGTGGAGCTAGGAGACTTTTTGGTGCCCATGCAAACATCTCTCTCTTGCTGGGGGAGGGGCCAGGGTTCCTGGTGGTGGGTCTCCCTCACAGAGTTCTTCAGGTGTTCTGATCACACCCGCCCGTGGCTGAGGAAGTGAATACTGCAGTCCTCATATTCTGCCTAGATGACTCCCCATGTATCCAAGCTTGGTTAAAATGCTCTGTGATGATCAAACACCCCCAGTAGGAATGGAAAGGTGGGCATTCTGAGGCTGGAAATTGTACTGTGCTGTTTGAAATGCCCATTAGTGTGTGAGTGAACCTCTGATCATCAACAAAGATTGCTCAATCACCCACAGCAATCCACCCCGCAGCACTTAAAAAAAAGAGAGACTGTTTTTAAGAGACCAAATTTGAAGTCTATGATTGCTTTCTTCCTTTTGGATTCTTCCTCTTGATTATCCTGCTTTGCTGCAGGATTTCTAAACGTTGTCACCTCTTAGATGCGGTCCCTCTCCTTGCTGTGCACACACGGGCCGACCTGCTGTGGAGACCAGTCCCTGGGCTCCTGCTCTCCCAGAATCCCAGGCTGGTGCCGACTGTTCTCTAAGGCAGGAATAGGCAGAAATCAAAGGGGAAATTCTTTTTGGTCCAGCGGAGGAGGGGACAGCTGTTACCTGTGTTCACCACCTCTTTTGTGACCATCTCTCAGCTTTGATAGGGTCCCACATTCCCAAGCTAGAATCCTGAAAACTACATTTCCCAGTTGCCCTTGCAGCTAGCCATGGGCATGTGATCTAGATCCCACCAATCAGACCACACTCCTTCTGGACTGATTTGGGAGTGACCCCCAGGGAGAGGTTTTCAGGGCTGGGGCACTTGGTGGCAGAGGCAGGAGGAGGAACTGTGCACCCGGGGAAGCTCTGCAGAGTGCTTCCGGCATCACCATCCCATCAACTGACCAAAGCGTAGGCTCAAGGCCTGAACCCAGATTTCTGGCCTTTCCCATCTAACATCCATTCACAAATTCCTCCTTATTTACTTCAGCTGCCCCAGATGGGTGCCAGGAACCACCAGACCTCACAGATAAGTGATGTCACTCCACTTACAACAAGTTCAAGACAGTTCTCCTCGTCGGGAAGAGCCTCTCTCAAATGAAGGGATTCTGGTGCTGACCTGGGCTGGGCACGTGGGAGTCCTCAAGGGTCAGGAGCTGATGTCACAGAGAAAACGTCCCACGGACGTCTGCTCCCTGGAGATGATGCAAGCAGTGACAGTCTAGATGGGGTTTTCCTAGCAATGCTGCCACCTGTCTGGGAGCCTGGTCCTCCCTACCTGCAAGGCCACGGGTACAGAAAGCTTAGCCTGGTTCTGGAAGATGTTTTCATCTTTGGGTGTGTGCTGCCAGAGAGTGGACCCTCCCCAGGGCCTACCCTCCATCAGCAGCTGCGTGGGCTTCAGTTGACAAAACCCAGGATCAAGTTCTTGGGAAGAGAGGCCCAGGAGGCCTCCGAGGTAGAGAACAGGGGCTGGAAGAGGAGATTCGTCTTCCCAGTTCCCCAGGCCTCACTTGGTAGAAGCTTTGAATCGACATAGTGTTAGAAGGAATGACAAAGGACACGTCACCTTTTTGTGGATCTTCGACAATCAAAACCAGAACAAGATAAATCT